CCTGGGTGTTGACAAGGCCGAGATGACAAATGGATAATCAATAGCTATAGCCGTCGGTGGTGTGGCAAAGAGCAGTGGCTGTCGCATTGATTCTCCGGTGGTAGACACAAACACACCCAGTGACACGTCCTCGGTTGACATGACAACCAGAAACTCAGACGTGTCCCGAATTAAATCGCCGCCGTCACTATCACACACTACCTGTAGGGTGTGCGAAAGATGAGAAGTGGTGCAAGTGGGGGTTGAGTACTTATTCTTAGGTGATAGAGATAGAGATAGGAAGTGATATCATTAACAATATACAATCTTTTTAGGTTGGTGGTGGGTAGGTACGTTAAGGTGTACGAGATAAGAAGTGACATTATCAGAAGCCACTAAGCTATACTGTGATGTTTGAATTCATGAAGTTCGTGTCGAAGATGAAGGACTCTTTCGCGACACCAGTCCGTATGTCCACAGGAGTGAAAAACTTGGTTCTTCACTGTAAATAAACCTAGCAACAACAGCATGCACATACCTTGATGACTGGATGCGTGAAGCTCGCGTCGAAGCTGAAGAGCCCTTTGGAGACTCCCGTCCGTACGTCCAGCAGTACATATGAGTCATGCAATGCGATACACACCACGTTACCTCTCCTGGTCATGGCCCTGGTACGTTCAAATCAGTGGGTGGTGCACTGAATTAGTGGCATAAAAGTGTACTTTTATAGAGGAGGACCTGTAGCTATAAACCTTCGACCCTCGTATACACCTATCCTTTAGTCCTTCCGTTATTTACCTATATCTATATCCATTAGTCTACTAAAGGCTAGTTTCCCAACTCCATGAAACCCGTTTGGGCCCTATTTACCCCACTCCTAGCCCGATTTTTGGCCTGTAATTACACCCACAATACCTTGGTTTGGACGTAATTTTATGCCTTTCAGCGACGCGCACACACTTTCGCGACACGTTCAGATTCAGCAGTTCTTTTTTCTTCGCAACCAGCAGCTCTAGGCCCACCTACAACACACATATGCGACACAGCGCATGTGTTAAAAGGAGTGTGTGAGGTGTGTGTGTGCGTGTGTATGACGAGGTGTGCGTGGAATAAGGATGTGTGTACTGTGCATTCTCGAGAGTTTGTTGATCGTGTGTGTGCGTATAGGTATAGATACCGTCACGATGTCTGCACCAGACCCACTTGATATATATATACCGAACGGTCTATCAACCCAGGCGAGCAATATATATATATATATATATTATATATATATATATATATATATACATACATATATACATATATATATATATATATATNTATATATATAATATATGTGTGTGTGGTGGTGTGTTATATAGAATATATATTACTTACTACCTNTAT